GAATTCTGCGTCATACGAGTACAAAAACAAGTCGGCTAGAAGGGGTGCACAATTAGTACCCATTGGAATACCGACTGTCTGTTGAAATATATCAATCCTCCAAACTCAACAAATATATTGTCGATTAAAAAGTCCAGCTTTTTGATAATATCATCTTCAGTGTATTTTCGGATAGAATCAGTGTGGTTCTTCACAAAATAAGAATTAGTATAACCCAAAACAAGAAATTCATATCTACGATTCCAATTTTTATAGAAAAAGCTTTGTTTAATGAGATGGTGAAGTCAATCTTTTAATTGAGCATGGGGAATAGTAATGTAAAGCGTAGAAAAATCAAAGGTCTTAACGTTGCGAGATGGTAATCTAAGATTTAGCAGGAGATCTTTAGAATTTTTGAGAATCCACATCTGATTGACACCACTGGTTGAATATCTCTCATCACTATATTTTTGAAGTCCATGTTTTACTGTAGAAAGAATATAAGTCAGCACTTTAGAAATATGTTTAGTCGAACATCTTGAAGATCTAGCTATGTATCGTTCTTTATACGGAATTTTGTGAAGTTTTGGTATCCAGTATAATGACGGAAGATTTTCTTCGTTTTCTTTGATGTAAATACCAAAAGAAAGAAGGACAGATTTGTGATTTTGTAAAATTTCATCCTTTGTAAATGATGTTAAAGAATATGTAGGATTACCAGGTGTGCTGTTTATTCCAAGCTCTTTTGTGAGACATTGCAAATAATGTTTTTTACATACGAAGACAATATCATTGGAGGCTTTATCTGCTTGATAACGACATATTTGTCATGCAAAGAGGATAAAGCATCCACAATCTCCGGGTTTTTTAATTGGTTAGAAACCCCTGTGCTCATAGTACATGGTAGTTTCTGAATGCGCTTCTGAATGCATGATCGAATAGCTTTGATCCATTCAGACAAAGTGTCCAGTTCTGGTTCGTCTGGTTTGCGCTTTACCCATTTTCTAGCATAGTCCTCAACTGCATCCATCAGTAACCTGAAGTTCTTTTTCCAGTTGATGGGCTGGGGAATTCTATATTTTGGTCCCTTGGCTAACAACTCTATCAGTGGTTCATTGATAACGCTGCCAAGGTCGCCAGTAATAACATGACCAGCTGGACTATAGCTGTATCATGACGATGCACATGAGCAATCCGGAGGTTTTGATTTCACATCTTTGAGGTTAAAGGCCTCTAAAACCCTCTTGTGGTTGAAAATCTTGGATGTAATAGACTTGGTGTAAGTATATGAAATTACAGGTGTAGCCAACACTAAAATACTTATTGATCAAATCAGCAGAGGGAGGATTATGCCAGACATGACTAAACGTAAAAAGGAGACGACGATACTCCTTCCAAGTGAAGTCGATGATAAAAATCAGAATTAAAAAAACAATTAATGGGTCTATGAACACTCACGTTACATCCATCCCCAAAGACCTTAATATTGCTGAACACTCAATCTACTTCCATGACAAATATGGTGTTGTCCCCACTGATAAAGTTCCAAACAATATTATTTGTGTTTGTAAATCACATTACACAAACTGCTTGATGAACAATGAGGGTATGTTAAGAACTAACCTTTATGAGAAAAGTGAAATTCCATCTCAACGTTCATATTGTGATTTCCATTTTATGTTACAACTATCTAGTAGCTCCTGCATATGAAGTATACATCTCCAAGCTGATACGATATTCGAGAGCTTGTGTTTTATATCATTGTTTCCTTGATAGGAAGTTATTGAAGAAAGGATTCCTAATGGTAAAGTTTGTCGTCAGTTCGAGTTGGTTGACCGTTATGAAATGTGTCACAGATGAAAACGGGAATGTTCTAAATTTCTTCATCCCATCCCCATTTCCTCAATTACCAGGTGCACTTATAAATGAGTAGCCATTCATCAGACATTCACAACACTGCGTATGACATTGTTTATCAACATTGTTTATTCCGTCTGATAATTTGATCATTTCTATGCAAGCCATAGAAAAAATATACCCAGGATTTACAATCCTTCTCATTGAAACACTTTTCCGTAGCAAAAAAGAAGATAATTTGAATCGGGAAATGCCCTATGATTATAATAACAACTTTGATGATATGGGTATTGTATTTAGTCTACATAACGATGAACGTGATAAATATTTTCAACTCAACTCGTCGAAGAACTGTTTGCATATAACATCATCGCCCATCTAAGTCCTTGCGATAACATCTGAAAATTATGGGAAAATATTCCTCCTAGACATGAATATATTAGCCAGATGGGGACAAATATGGTGCAGCAAACAACTTCATCCTGAAATATGTAACATCTTGTAGGGTTACAAACAAGACGACACCAATTAAAATAGCATATCATCTCCATGGTCATTATTTAAAAGAAGTAAAAACAGCTAAGCATTTAGGTCTCCCTATACAATAGAATAGAGAATGAAAACGGGAAATGTGTCAAAGAGACAATGACCCGACCAAAGAGCAGAAAACAGCCCAAGACCACCAATGGGTCTTCAATGCAGCGAAAAAATCCAGCACCCGGAGGCGGGCTTCAGCTGGCCTCTTAAGAAATAACGTATACTAGTTCAACGAAATGGACGCCACACCAAACTCCGAAACATATAAATGAACCAAAATTAAAAAAAACACACAAGACTAAAAAAAGAATCGGGCTGAATAATGAAACATGAGATTTAGATAAATATGCCTAAAGTAAATAACATAGAAAAGTTCATGCTCGGACACACACTCCATTATCTTATATAATATAAGAGCATGCACCTTAAGCACGAGGAAACGCAACCTGAAATGGGATCAATACATACAGCAGATAACGGACAAAGCAATAAACACTTGGATGTCTTCGGAGAAACATCAGAAGCACATCAACAAAAGTCAAAAGCCAAGCTTACTTTGGACTAGCAGTACCACGGTTAGAATACGCCTCAACTGTTTGGGACTAAGCAATAAAAGACAAGCATAATCTGGTGCACATTTTAGCCTCAAATGAAATAACTTTTAGAAAGGTGAAAATTATAATATAAACTGAGAGGTGGAGACAAATAACCTCCATGGATATGAGATATATTAATGCTAATACAACTGCATACCAATATCATTGAATTACCATTAGTGGTTCACCTTAACCTAACCTTATCACAAACTTGAACAAATTGCTGACGCCGCAGATGCCACCAACGCCAGAAATAGCATGATTCAGTCTCGACGCTGTGACTTCGTCGAGGCGAGACAAAAAACATTACTGATTCAAATAAAAAGTTCTCTGAAACTGATATCAAGATAGTTGAGTTCTGTATGAAAATATTTGTTATGTTTTGTGGACGTGTTTTCCAACAGACAGTCGACACACCAATTGGAACCAAATGTATACCTCTTTCTTCATTCGTATGAGGCAGATTTAAATTTGATAGATGCTTTTTGTGCTTCTTTGTTAATGTTTGTTTGTTTTGAGACTGTGACACAGTGATGACTGCTGTACCCATGTTTTGACAATGTTACCTATTATGTCTGTTTTGTTCACGCATCGTTGTAAATATAATGGAATTTGATGCGACTGTCATACAAGTGAGAGGTTTAGCGCTATAAAACCAGGTTCAATCTACCATTTTCTACATTTGAAAATGCCTGTACCAAGTCAGGAATATGACAGTTGTTGTCCATTCGTTTGATGTGTTTTATCATTTGATTTTGCTATTTGATTAGGGACTTTCCATTTAGAATTTTCCTCGGAGTTCAGTATTTTTGTGATTTTACTTCATATAATCATTAATGACTTAAATCATTGACATTGAATATGAGGTCGGTTGAAACTTTCCATTCTGGGCAGAAAAAGTTAGTGACTGCATTGGGAGTATATTCCTCACAGTTGATAAGAAGTTCCGCGATTTTACTTTCTGACATTTAAACTTTGGAAAACTACTGTTGCCTAATCTTATTATGATTTCCTTGACAGACTGAAAGGAAGCTATTTAACCAAGGGTTGCCAATTGTTAATCTGAAGTCATTCGTTAGAAAGTTTTAAACACATCATCATGATTTGGTTGGAATATCTATGTCAAAGATGACCATGGATATGTTGTACTTGTCATAGTCACAAGCAAATCCTCCCTTCCTTGATTATGAAATGTATAAATAAAAAAAAGAATAATAGGGATCACCAAAAATGATGGACAGTACAACAGACCATATCAACCACCAGCACCAGCTTATAATTTTAATAAGTTACAATTTATGTAAACCAAAGAGTTTATGGAGGGATATTTTCTACGTATCAGCAAGGATTTATTTATTGTGTCACTTTAAAAATCCTTTGTATCAGGGCTCATTTTTTGTATGATGTTGTAATGGTTTATCCGTTTATACAATCATCTTGCTCTGTCTTGTCTGCACAAAATTTAATATTGTGGCTATATCCTTCGATAATTATAGATTACCGTTGGTTATCTCAACAAGATTGATTTTCTCGCTTGAGCCGGTACGCCTAAAGAGAGAAAAGCAATCAAGTTGAGATGACCAAAGGAAATCTGTTTATCGCTATTTTACCTATGAAGACGTTGTTAATTTCCTTGACAACGGCACATGTTCCCTTAGTTTCTAGCCATAATTTTCGAATCACTCGACTCCGCTGAGAAAGGAAATTATCAGTCAGCAAGATCAAAGGAAAAATTCGTAAAATAGCGATAATATTTAGGTTTTGTCATTACTTTTGACCAAACAAACTGGGGTTGAATTTTGAATAAATGACACAAAATCACTTCACACACGTGCAAAAATCTAAAGGACAGGAACCAGATTTTATTGCTGTTTTTCATCTCACAGTTAGGTCTGATGACAGCCATTGTGAATATCTGTTTACAAAGAAAGATAAACTGTTGTATTTTATTATTAAATGTTGGAAATTAGTGACAGGGTCATTACACTAGTAGGACCAGAAACTTTAGAAGAACAAAACCAAAAAACAACACCTTGATTTAGTTTTTACTCTGAATGCATTCCCTAGAACTGACAGGAATTTATTTAGATCAATCATGAACAGTACAATAAAACTATAATAAACATAAATCAACAGTTTGACAATTGTCTAGAAAATTTACATGCTGATGGACATTGATATACTGTCATTAGTGTTATCGTTCACCAACTGCTCACAATAATAACACCTTAGTATTTTGTCTGATCCAATTTGTTCCCAATTCAAAATTATGTAATGTTTATTATACATGATATTGTCTCCTGTGAAAATTTATATTTTTTCAAATAAGCATTCAGATTCCCAAAGTCTATAGGTTCTTTCTTTTTCCAACTAAAAAAAATGGAAAAAAAAAATAAGATGTATATTTCCACAACTGAGGACAAGTTGAATTGATCAAATCATTTACACTTCAGAAACAATTTCCCAGAATTATTTTTTTAAAAGCTGAATAAACAAAGATTTTTGGAATGAATTTGTGGAATCAAAAAAGAATCAATCTAAACTGAATGTTCAGGAGGCAGCATTCCATGAAATGTATGTAAACATATTAATTAGTATTAAAGTTCATTGTTTCACCTTTAACAGTTACATTTACCTTTCACAACACAAAATCACTTACTTTAGTACTAGTGCTTCTGATCACACAGATAGTCACAAACAAGCAAATTATTATCAATTAAAAACATAAATTAAAAACGTAATTATAATGAACAAAACATTGGTAAAGTAGCAAAAGTAATCTCACATTACAAAAATAACATAAAAAAAAAAAAAATACAAAAAAATGTATCTCATATACACCTACATAAATAACAAGAGGCTGTCAGAGTGACAGCAAACCGGATTTTCCTGCATGAAAATGATATTTGCAAATCTGGACCCCCAAACAGGATCAAGTAAAAAAAAATAATTGAATTTTTGTAGGGTTCAGAAATGGAAAGGCCAAAATCAATCTAAGTATCACTTTTCCCTACATAAAGGTGTACAATTTAACAAAGATAAAACTCCTGAACGGTGAAAGTGAAAATCGTCAATATCGAACTTGACCTCCATTTTCTCATCAGTAATAACATATTAAAATTTGAAAAGCTTTGGTTGAATGGTTCATAAGTTAAAGCACTGACACGACTGGAAACACCATTTTCAATCTTTCAAGAACCATAACTCCTGAATGGTGAAAGTGAAAATTGTCAATATTGAACTAGACCTCCATTTTGTCATCAGTAACAACATATTAAAATTTGAAAAGCTTTGGTTAAATGGTTCATGAGTTGGTGCACGGAAACTGTTTGGCAGCCGCACGCCCACCGTACATCCCCAAATTAATAACCGATTTTTCCTTCGGAAATCCGGTTAATAAAATAAATACACTAGGAAAGAGGAGGAAGATACCAAAGGGACGTAACTAATCAGACAAAGAGAGAACTACAAAGCAAAGACAAAAAAAGAAAAACAACGGCAAGACAAACAGTCTACAAAAAAAAAAGACTTAGCAACACAACCACACTAAAACCGGGGTGATCTCAGGTGCTCCATATGGGTGAGGAGAACCTGGTCACAAGTCGCATCAGTTGTGCCTCATTTAAAAAACTCACGTTTGTTTTGTTTACACTCAATTTATAAAGCCATAATTGCTTTCAAATGTGTATAATTTAAATAAGAATAGACGGGGTATAACAATTGATTAAGAGGTTTAAATTTTAATTAATTACACAACAGTCAAAAGGTCTCTAGGTTCATTTTAAACTCTGTTGACACAATTTAATGAGCCACAACTCTCAGAAGTTTATTGTTCTATTGTAACCAAATTTTTAAATTATGCAAGTTTTTACAATAATAACCACGTAAGACCAATATGACAATCTGGAAATAGTACTACATGTACTAGGAAGTACTTACTATTTTTTTTTTATTTTCTGTGTGAATTTATTTTCAAGAGAAAGAAATTTTGTTTCAATTCAACACCTTTAAAAGCATTTTCACTTTTGTGTTGAAATGTTCTTATTTTCATTTCTTTAATGAGATTACATCATAACATTCTGAAATAGTGAATAGTAAAAATGAGAATGAATTACTGCATTTTTATCTATACAGAAAAATATATTTCTTAATAATAAAACTATCAATAATGGGTGCATGCATGACTTTCAAAATTAATATCATACTGTGGATTCGTTAGTTGTCATGGGGACCAATGTTTGTGGATAGAGGAAAAATTCTGTATATTTTCACTGATATTTGATTGTGTGGTTTTTCAAAAGTTTGTATGCAAGTCCATAGATACTTTGTTGAACATTTAAAAAAGTGATTTCCCTATAACCACAAAAATCAATAAAAAATTGTACCCACAAATAATAGTGAATCCACAGTTTGTGACAATTAGAACAAAAACTCTCATAAAAACATCAACAATGCATCTACAAATGAACAATTAAAACAGTGATGACCTATTTATATATAAACTTATCATATATACCAGGCTTCAAAATTGTTATGCATTTCATCTACAAAAGATCATCAGTGATATATATCTTATAAATAAACCAAAGATATCAACAACAAAAAATAATTCAGCTTTTAAAGTCTACAAGACAAACTTTTAAACCTTAACATACATAATCTTTGGAGATTTTATCTTTAAATATGAAATATAATCACTGTATACATTTAACACAAAGAGAAGTAACTACTATATACAAATAAAACATGACACAAGGAGTGTAAATAATAAATAACAAATCACATGGCACCATATAATAAAAAACAAAACAATATCAACTCAAAGAAAAATGTCTACATAGCAATAAAAATAAAATGAAATGGAATGGACAAAAATACACAAATAAAAAAAATTTATACATCTTTTCACTTGTCAACCTTATAGAATAATCAACTGATTCAAAACATCGCTCATAAAATTATTCTAGAAAATGTAAGTGTGGAACAAGAAATAGAAGTTCCTTCATAATGTAAGTTCCAAGTGGAAGAAATATTCCGTAATATTATATCCACTGAAACAAATATTACAGTATTTGTTTCTTACATAATACAGGGTATAGAATATATGTTCCAACAGAAACAGATATAGTGGCATTGTTTATAACAACACATAGGTTCCCACCTGTAAAAGGTGCCCTTTATTTGAACAACATGGTAATATAGGAATGAAGCTATCAAGTATCATCAGTATCTGTCAGAAATTAGATTAATATAAATTTGGACACTGGGCTAAACATTTATCTCTAGCACCTTCTTGTACTGTTCAGTACTTTGTAACTCTTAACTAAATATTTAGTGGAGTATTGCAGAGAATGCATCATGTGCATGAAAAGTATATGAGAGCTGTGGGGGAGATAAGCTAAGCATAAAACCTAAAACCTAAGGTCTGTTATATTGATTTTATAGCAGTGACCTTGGATGTATATTCAAAGATTATGCAATACACACCTTCTTGTGGTAATGAACACTTATACAGCCATTGTTTCACTGTAATCAGCTCAAGGTCATAACTGTATAATAATATAACAAGTGACTGAGGAACACATTAATTCAAAAATGCACTGTGCAGCATGAGTAAGTCATCAGTGTTATTCGGTCACAAGTTGTATATTTTTCGATATTTGAATTTTTACATTAGTTGTTTTTTTTATTACATTGACATGGGCTTTTTAATTGAAATAAAGTATAATACACAAGGAACTATATCTGTATCTACCCATTCCCAATTGGTTTTGATGTAAAGTCATCGACAATGTCTTGACAACTAGATTGTTGTATGACATCAGGAAAGTGAAATTATCAGACTTATTTCACATGTGAAATTATTGACTTTTATTTAACTGGGAAATCACAGTATTTCATTGCAAACAATTTTATAAGAGTAATTTTTTTTTTCGACAGACTTATATACTGATTGCAAGATATCTACTAATATTTGGTAGGGCTCTCTAAAACTTGCTTTAGCAATTCTCAATCTATAATAAAGGAAAATTTTAATGTTCTGTGGATTCATTTATTTTCTTGATTACCTATTTTCGTGTATATTTTATTTTGTGTTTTGCCAAAAGTTGAAAACAAGCCCATAGAAAATTTGTACTTCTTTGAACATTCAAATTTGGTTGTTCACCTTTACCAATGAATCACAGGCACTTGTCTCTGAAAAATAAATTTCCTATATATATACCCTAATATAACACAAGGTACCTAACTCTTATTTTTGGGAAATGACATCTGGTCACAAACTTCCCTAATATTTCGATTTCGCAGTTGTCTATCCCACTGAAACTTGCTATGTCATAAATCTATAAATTGGTATATAACACACCTATTTCTGTTGTCAGAATCAATCATAGCAGTCCTTCCCAGGAGATAATCCCTAAATTATTTCGACTTCTCTCAGCCAAATGGTAATGTTAATCTCACAGTGAATGATTTATTATAAAAAGTCTTTCCCAAAAACCTGTTAGTTTTTCTCTGAATATAACTTATCATCCAGATAGTGAATTTGTAAACGATACCGTGATAAAAAATCTAATAAGTGTTATTTGAAGTATGTCTAATGAGATATGAGTGTCTATTTTTAAACCCAAATTTTCCCATCCCATCAATGTCATTGACAGACTCTCTCTGAACTTTACAAATACAATTGAGATAACTCCAAAAACATTCATTTTATCAAGAAGATTGACCAATCAGAAACCGAGATATATAGAATTAATCACTCACTGCGAGATTAATATTGCCATTTGGCTGTGAGAAGTCGAAATAATTTAAGAATTACCTACTTGGAAGGACTGCTATGAATGATTTCGACAACGGAAATAGGCGTGTTATACACCATTTTGTAGATAATTTAATGTAGATTTACGACATAATAAGTGCATTGGGAAAGGCAACCGCATAATTGAAATATAACAGAAGTTTGCGACAGGGTGTCATTTCCCGATAATACGAGTTAGGTACCTTGTGTTATATTAAGGTATATAGGAAATTTTTTTTCAGAGACGAGTGCCTGTGCCATGAATTCCACAAAAAAATGGTATTCAACCAATAATAATGAAACCACAGCATTCACATAACCAATAATGTCAACATATGTTTTGATGTTACAAATTGAGTTTTCTGGATATAAATAAGATATTTGGGACTGTAAATTCACGACTCAAAAGTATCTGAATACAGCACAACTATTCTATTCTAATGGAACCAAAGACAGAATTTTTCTCTTAAATTTATAAATATCATACAAAAACAAGCATTCTGTGAGTATAGCATGGCAATACATAGTCCCCTACCGGTTACAAATTCATTGTAATGGAATGAAATTCTAACTTGATCTATAACTTGTCATGGTGTAAACTACATAAAAATATCAAGTCAAAATCTTCAAGCATGATGAAAAAAACTGTTTAAAACTGATTATTTAAGTGAATTTTCTATGTCCAAAGACCATAACTCTGCACAAAATTATCAGACTGGAACAAAATTCCAACTTGATCTGTAACTTGTTATGATAGCACTATATACTCATTATCAAATCAATATCTTCAAGAATGACAAACAAACCTACCACTAAATTCTTCAAACAATTTACCAAAGAAAAGGAAAAAAATCCCAAATGTCATTTTGTCTTTTAAAAGTCTTTTAAAAAATGAGTTATTTCCCTTTGAACAGAAATCTACTAATTAATAAGTATTTCATCAAAAATTTAATTCTAGGGAAAGGGCTTTAACTGAACAAAGAGAAAAGCTAAAATCGTGAAAATTGAACTTGACCTGTAACTTGTCATGATAAATCAATAAACCAAATATCAAATCTTTATCTTCAAGTACGAACAAAAAAAGTCTGGAAAACTGATTTGCCGGACTGACAGATGGACGGACAGACAGACAGACAGACAGACGGACAGAATGCAAACCTAAAGTCCCCTTCGACTTCGTCGGTAGGGGATTAAAAATGTTGTCAAGTTTTGGGAACTTGGTAAATCTGCCAATAGATTATTATTTGATGTTATTCAATACAAATCAATGATATAAACAATTAAATTGTACAACAGAACAGTTTAAAACATCACAAAATTAAAAGTTTTATATTCATATTGTTACTCCATTTTGAGTATATATGAGATTCACATCTTTATTATTCACTAATTAATTAAGATATAATTTGCTTCTGAAGCTTCGATTTCATAAATTCAATCTTAAAGAGTATTAAACCATCTGCAACATTATCCAAGCCCCTTCTCACATTCTGTTTTATTATTCATAACTTTATCCAAGGAGCATTCTAACATCTGCATCATCGTCAGGTGTTTCATCTGCAGCAATGCGAGTGTAAGCAAGCATTAGTCTATTAGTTTCTTTTTTCTTCCGACACTTTACTCCAATAATAATGGCAGCAACTATTATTAGTACAATTAACAATGCTGCTGCAATCAGTCCGCCATAAAACAACCAATCAGTATACTTCTTGTTCTTTGGTGTTGGATGCTCAATTTTGTTGTCTGCAATCCATATTGTACCATTATAGGTCAAATTCAGGGCTGTATTACTATTGGTATAATTGAATGGAGGAGTCATACACAAATCACCGTAACAACAACACAATTCTGCCTTCAATTCAACACCTCCTACTGATACATTGACCTTGAAGTAAAAAAAATCTGATACTTTTACACATTAACCTTGAAGTAAAAAAATCTGATACATTTACTTTGAAGTAAAAAAATTGGATACATTTACCTTGAAGTAAAAAAAATCTGATACATTGATATATTACCTTGACGTAAAAAATTAAGGATTCAGAGAACATTTTTTCCTATTTGTGATCATAAGATTTGTTTGTTTCTAGAAATAACAATTTAAATGAAATTTAATCATAAATTGTACTATATTAAAGAAACATCATGACTTACTAATCCTCCCTCAGTAGTTTTAAAAGAGATTTATAATGAAAATTAGAAAGTTAAAGCATTAGGATAGATGAAAGATGCAAGTAGACTCCAATAGCTTACGCATTATTCAATTAGGTTCAGATAATATGAAAAAAATCAGTACAAAGAGAATACTCGCATTTTTACAAGGACACGTTAGACTACGATACTTACATTATTACAATGAATCTTTTTTATTACAATGACTCTTTTGACTACAGTGCTTACATTATTGCAATGATTCTTTTGAATACAATACTTACATTATTACAATGACTATTTTGACTACAATACTTACATTATTACAATGACTATTTTGACTACAGTGCTTACATTATTACAATGACTATTTTCACTACAATACTTACATTATTACAATGACTATTTTGACTACTTCCACATGATACATTAAAGAATCCAAGGTTGTGTTCACAAGAATAGTACTGGAGTTTCTCACCACTTTCTATATGTGTCATAAAGCTTGAGCAATGAGCATCAGAATACAAACACTCTTCAATTGAACCTTTAAGAAACAAGTTACAAGATTATAACATGATCTGAATTAACTAAAAAACTTTCTATATTTACATTGGACAAAACTATAGGTCTAGCAAAAAACCATTAATACATGACCGTTTTAGTCCAGTTCACTTCTTTGTATTGCTCACCCTATCACGTATGTTGGCGACATTCCGCTAGCCGTTTTACCCAGAATCAAGCGCTACCATAGTTATCCTGATTGTATCTTTACACAGAGGGCATGATATAAACTACATTGATTTTTGTTGTTTCACATCCAGTGCCATATATTTCATGCATATTCATTTAGATAGATTGTAAAGGAAATAAGAAGCTGTAAACACTGTCATGCTAAACATGTCCCACTGGTAATTCAAAGTTTCAACAAACAAGAAGTAAGTGTTGTACAGATAAAAAAGTGTTCATATGTTACTCATATGTTACTCATCACTGTCAGCTGCAGGCCAATATGAAGCCATTTTGTTGAGTACATTGTACCAGTAGTTCATGAGATAAGTGTGACAAAAATATTTGTCTTAATTCAAAGTATTGGCAAACAGAAAGAAGATGTCTTATAGGTCCAAAAAATGGTAAGACACTACAACTCATTATTCATTGATTGTTCAGCTGCTGACCTAATAATAAGTCATTCTGTTCAGTAATTCTGTTAAAAGTATTCTGAAATATGTATTGGATAAGCTGACGGATGGGAGACAAATTGACGGACATATAGCTCCCACTATTTTAGTAAATGGTGGTTGGAGTATAACTTAATATTAATTTATTGATTAAATAGGGACTTTCATATGCTATGGTTGATCTTTTTTGTAGTCAAAAGAGTCATTGTAATAATGTGAGTACTGTAGTCAAAGGAGTCATTGTAATAATGTAAGTATAGTAATCAAAAGAGTCTTTGTAATAATGTAAGTACTGTACATGTAGTCAAAAGAGTCATTGTGATAATGTAAGTATTGTAGTCAAAAGAGTCATTGTAATAATGTAAGTATTGTTGTCAAAAGAGTCATTGTAATAATGCAAGTATTCTCTTTGTACTGATTTTCTTCTGAATCTAATTGCAAAAATGAAAAATTGGGAAAAATCGTCACCAAAGGGCAATAACTTCAATCAGGAGTCGACCAACAACTTCATTCTAATGACTTAATTGTAGATCTTGTCTTGCTGATCATTTTTGCTGTTTAAATTTTCCATCTATCTATTATAGTTTTCAAGACAATTAGAAAAAACCCTAAAAATTGGTAAAAATCGTCATTAAAGGCCTAGGGCAATAACTTCAATAGAGTGTCGACTAACAATTTCGATCATGTTTAACTTACATGTAGATCTTGCCTTGCTGGTCATTTTTGTTATAAAAAGTTTCTATCTATTATAACTTTCGAGATAATGGGCAAAAATAAAAAAAATGGTAAAATTTGTCGTTTAAGGGCAATAAGTTAATAACTCCTATAAACATTCGTCTGACAGTTTTGATGTCAATAGACATTAGGTAGATCTCATCATTATGAACATTTTTGCCAGTCAGATTTTCTCTATCTTTAACAATTTTCAAGATAACAGCCAAACATTTCATTTGACCCCCTTTGTTCTATTTTTAGCCATGTCAGCCATATTGGTCAGGAGGTGGGGGTCATCGGACACATTTATTAAACCAGATATCCTAATGATGATTGTGGCTAAGTTTGGTTCCAATTGGCGCAATAGTTTCAGAGGACAAGATTTTTATAAAAGTTAATGGAAGCCGACGTACAATGACGAACCCCAAGTGATGAGCTAAAAATATGAGTTTTAAATCTGGGGTAAAATCACCCTACACCAGTCACATTTTTCATAGTAATAAAACCATCCTATTTATATTTGAATTTATTTTCACCACAGATTCATACCCGACATATTATGTGTTCTTGTAAGGTTTGGGAATTTTTTTATTTGTGTTACGATTCCCTTTACCAATTTTCACAGGCACCAGTTAATTTGGAAATCATATGGCCCAGAACATGCAGAAAATCTTTTTTCCTAACTTCCTAACTGATATGTTGAGGCCTTGTTTTTCTTTTTTCTATATCATATATATTAACATTTAAGACAAGACTAAGAACGATTCTAACTAGTACCTTCTGATATATTATCCCTTTTATAAGCATTATAACATTTCCTTTTTACATCATCTCTGACTGGTTTGTTGCAGTTGTTTCTATTACAGCAAAATTGATGTGTGGTACTATTTGTCGTGTTGTCTTTAATCTGTAAGAATATAAAATTTTGAGTTTGATATATAATTTTTTTCAACATTTTTACAAGTAAACATTTGCCCTCCTATACATTTAATTGTTTAACAGATTCCTAGGAAAACTACCAGTACAAACATTGCACAAACTAGAATCTCAGTAAAGCTATGCATAAAATTGCCCCAATATCAATTCAGAATTTTGTGAAAACTGTCTTTATTGAACCATGTACAAACCTGAAACCTGTTTAAACTGAACAATTATATCAGGACATACAGTGAGTATCTTATAAAATGTACCTACTTATACCTGTTTAAACTGAACAATTATATCAGGACATACAGTGAGTATCTTATAATATGTAATTTGCCACTGGATGTTAAGCAACCAACAATCAATCAATCCTCTTATAATATGTACCTACATAAACCTGTGTAAACTGAACATTTTTTTAATCTGAACAAAATCTTCAGTCCCCATGTGTTTGCTCTGACAGTTTTCCTTTTAATAAATGGAGGCTAACAGATCATTCTAAAAACAAAAAGTGCCAATCATATCTCAAATTTTAAACAAGAGGCTTGCTTTGCGTTTGAAATATTTAATGCTTAACTATCGAGAGTGGAGAAATATTGTATTACACGAGATTCCATAGATGAATCTGTTTCTCTAATGATTTTTAGATGATATGCAGGCAAAATTTATCTATCTCTTTCAATGATCTGCAAAATGATAAGTTTTTTCTATGTGACATCAGCAGGTATGGTTGCCTTTTCTTGTGATGTCACAATAGCAAAATTATAGGAAAGGAAAATGATTTGATGTCATAATTGAATTATGACCAATGAAAAACAGAGATCTGATGAAACACAAGTTGTTTATAAAAAGATTATCGACTGGTTGGGGAAAGTATAAATCTGCTAAGAATTAGAGAAATGTTTTTTACTATTTAAGGTCAAGTTACAGTAAATGGGCTATGCCACAGATTTTGGTAAAATTTTGCATACATCTGTGGATCTTTGAACTATAACTGAAAATCGAAAAGATAATGCATTTATCTTTTTTAATTTCTGAAATACAACTGATTGAACTCTTTCAAAATAGGTGAATATTTGTATAGAAAGCACATAAAATAAGCAAAAACGTTCTTAAATTTGTCTTAAAATTATAAAATCTCAAATTTCTACTCCATAGATTTTTCTTAAAAAAACTATATGTTGTTGGTACATGAATTTCTGTTTTAATGATGTAAAATAATCATGGGGTCACCGACTTCGTTTTTACAGAGTATTGTTCTAGGTGAAAAAATATCACAAAACATCGAAATAAGAGTAACGTCATCACGTTATAGGCCGTAAAACGTCGATTTTTGACGTTTTTCACTACCAACTACATAACGGATTGGTAAGTACCATAAAAACCAAGTCGGTGACCCCATGATTATTTTACATCAAAAAACGGAAACTCATGTACCAACAATATATAGTTTTTTAAGAAAAATCTATGGAGTAGAAATTTCAGGTTTTATGATTTAATACATATTTAAGAACGTTTTTCGCTTATTTTATGTGCTTTCTATACAAATATTCACCTATTTTGAAAGAATACAATCAGTAATATTTCAGACAATAAAAGAGATAAGTGCATTATTTTTTCCATTTTCAGTTATAGTTCAACGAGCCAAAGTTGTATGCAAAATTATAACAAAATCTGTGACATAGCCCATTTACTGTTCCTTGACCTTAAGAGTACACATTTTGTGTCGCTTTAATACTCATTTATAGATGTTCCATTCTAGAATTTTTTCTAAACAAGAGTGCACACACGCTAAAATGCCTCGCCTGTTTTACTGACCATTGATTTTATGTTGATAGTCCTAAATATCAAGTTTTACTGCAATTATCACATAAACTTAACATGATACAAGAAAATGAGGTCAAGGTCAGATAAACCAAGCCAGAAATACATGGAAACCTTACAATCATTCCATACACCAAATATAGTTGACCTATTGCTTATAATATACAAGAAACAGACCAAAACACAAAAACTTAACATTGAGCAATGAACTGAAAATGAGGTCAAGGTCAAATAAGACCTGCCAGACTGACATGTTCATTGTAAAAATATTTCCATACACCAAATAGTGTTGACCTATTGCATACGGTATAAGAAAAAAAGACTAAATCACAAAAACTTAACTTTAACCACTGAACCATGAAAATGAGGTCAAGGTCAGATGACACCTGCCAGTTGGACATGTACACCTTACAATCATTCCATACACCAAATCTAGTAGACCTATTGCTTATAGTATCTGAGATATGGACTTGACCATGAAAACTTAGCCTTGTTCACTGATCCATGAAATGAGGTTGAAGTCAAGCGAAAAACTGTCTGACAGGCATGAGGACCCTTGCAAGGTACACACATACAAAATATAGTTATCCTATTACTCATAATAAGACAGAAATAAACATTGCAAAAAATATTAACTTTTTTTCAAGTAGTCACTGAACTATGAAAATGAGGTGAAGGACAAAGGACATATAACAGACAGAAACTTCATAACATAAGGCATCTTTATACAAAGTATGAAGCATCCAGGTCTTCTATCTTCTGAAATATGAAGCTTTAAAGTAGTTAGTAAACACTGCAGCTGGATCATTATACCTATGTCTCACTTTCTGCGACAGAAGTAGCAGGCTCATCAATAAAAAGATGTGAATTTCAGGGATAAGTATGTATATAAGGCAAAGTTAACACACATATATATATATTATCAATACCTTACATATTTTTTATAATTTTTTGTTCATGACTTTTAATGTATAGTTTTCATCATTGTACCCAATACACCTTTATGTAATAGTGAAGCAGAAATGATTTTTCTACATATGCCTAGGGGTCACTAAGTTGAACTTTTGACCATAACCTATATTGTAAGGTTTTCTTCATTGTATGCAACACACCTTCTAGTAGTGATGAATAATCATGAAGTTTCATTTTATACTCCAAGAGGTTTAAAAGATAGAGAGTGGAAAGATTTGTGACGGAAACACACACAGACAAGCTGATTCCACCAATCAATCAGGGGCCCTAATAAAACTTAATGTATCACTAAGTGCAGCATGATACAACTTTGATTAAATGATTACCAAAATCAACTGTCGATACAGTAATGGGATGAACACACATTTTTTTTTACTTCCATGTACCATATAAATGTGCTGTTTTGGCCACTTTTAACCCTTATACAGTAGCTTTTCAACTGTAAAAAAAGATGCAAAATTTATGGCAAGATTGCAATATCTGGTCAGAACAGTTTAATAAAAAGCTGCGCCATGATTGCATGATACACCCGTCACCCTTTTAGCTAGTCTTTATGCTTTAAATGAATTTAAGTGATCAACTAGAAACACTGTGAGCACTGCTCAAATAGATCTTGTTCACAACACACTTGCTGGTTATGAAAATCAAAGACAATGTTACCAAGTATCTTCAATGTTTATCAAGGCATTTTCTTATGCTGTTACACCACTGTCCCAGGTTAGGGGAGGGTTGGGCACCTGCAAACATGTTTAACCACGCCACATTCTGTATGTGTCTGTAATTCAATGGTTGTTGTTGTTTGTTGCTGTATATCATATTTGTTTTTCGTTCATTGTTTTGTACATAAATCAGGCCGTAACGTAGTTTTCCCGTTTGAATTGTTTTACATTTGTCATTTTGGGCCTGTTATAGCTATGCAGTATGGGTTTTGCTCATTGTTGAAGGCCGTAAGGTGACCTGCAGTTGTTAACTTCTATGTCATTTAGTCTCTGGTGGAGTTGTCTCATTGGCAATCATACCACATCTTCTTACTTTTATATATACATTATAAAAGTTCCATAACTCTGCAATGTCATATCAGAAATTTATAAAAATATGAAATAGAGCATATTTCCATAGATATAAACAAGTCACCAAATTAAGTTGCAAGAAAACAACTCAAAGTGTTTTTAAGTTCTTGTCTGAAAAACTGAAAATCCTCCCTTTTTTATGAATAAAGTCCTAATACTCGAAAACATAAAATTTTCAAAATCGAACAGGAACTTATGTAAATATATACATGATATATAAACAAATCACCAAAGTTTCATTAAAATTGCTGAAGACATTTTTGATTTCTAGTCACAAAAATGGAAAATCACCCATTTTTTATGAATTAAATCCCTTAACTCGGAAACGTAAAATCTAAAATTATAAAAATCGAAAGGGAGCTTACGTCAATAGATATAAACAATTCATCAAAGTTTCATGAAAATTGGTGAAAGTGTTTTGGAGTTATTGTCACAAGTGTTGACAAAGGAAGGACGGACGGAAAACGGTATACCATAATGCATTCTGTCTCTGAAGATGGGCATATAAAAATGATCCTAAACTTAATAGCCCGATTGAAAAGGAAAGAGAACGTTAGAAATCATTTTATCTTCCCGAAATCTGACTTCTATGAGGGTGTGGATTTGGGTTTACAGAATAGAGAATATTGGGCAAAAAATATAAAGAATAGAGAAAAAAAGACCCAGAAAATAAAGAATAGAGAATAATGAGGTGCTAAATATAAAGAATAGAGAATAATGGACAAAAAGTATAAAGAATAGAGAAAAATGGCCTAAAAAATTAAAGAATACAGAATGAACAACCCCTTTCAAGACCCTCTTCTATCATTTGAAATACATGTACATTATACACAGTATACTAACTTAATATAAATTTTCATTATAATAGATTACCTCAACATACTGATTTACAAATGTATTGTTACAAATACTTGAAAAGTCACACGACATATTGTAGACTAAATCAGGTTTACTGTGTTTCATGTTGTATGTTAAACTCTTTTCGGGTATGGTCACTGTATAGTAACAATCAGTTACATTTTCACCACAAGACTCATTCTTTAAGTTAGTTAAATCGTTTCCAGTAAAACATGATGACACAAATTCTGTTGATTTTCTAAAAAATGAAATAATCTGCATTATAAGAAAGAAAGATCACATACTCCCTGCAGCACTACACACCCTCCCCACATCAAACAAAAGAAACAAATCCCCTTAAAACAAATTTTTTCACATTTCTTATTTTGCTGATAGTCAAATTCAATCAAGGTTTTGATATCAGTAAAATAGCCATTCAAATTTGAAGGGTATGTCAAGAATAATTACATTAGATGTATGTTTCATTATAATACGTTATTCTGATTGGCTAACTGCAATCTCGCGTTATTCCTTAATCAACTTCATTACACAATGAAATTTATCATTCATGATGACACAAGGTCCCACAATAAAGTGCACAGGTAAATTAAATAAAAACTTGATAAAAATCGTGTTTTCATGATCCTAGTTAAAAAATGTAATTATAAGTATTGAATGCTTCTTTTTGTAACCTTATAGGGTTGTAAAAGCGTTGACCGTGCGCACATTTTTAGAATGAAGCGCTTTTGCGCTTCATACAAAATGTACTTCGGTCAACGCTTTTACACCCCAATGAAGTTACAAAATGAAGCATTCAATTCTTAAATATTAATATAGTGTGTAATTATTGGAATTTTTTTAATTTCCTCCCCAAAACAGATTACTCCCCATTTCTATTTTTTTCATAATGGAACTCATTCAGATGTTTCCAGCTTTTGAAAACAATATTAACCATTCATTCAAATTTAAAAGACAGACTTAAGGTTCATCATAACCTTTTAGCAAATATGGCCATATTTACATCACAGTACAGACAAACCTCTGCACCTGGAAAAGTTTTGGAGCATGGCTGGACCTTGATATAAAAAAATTAAATGCATTTTTAGTGTTAGAATATTAAAAACTTAAGGTTCATGTGGACCCTTCGTCTAAAATGGCTGCATTTTCACCTCAAAATTTACTCTGAGTACAGACAAACCTGTGCATCTGGAAAAGTTTTAAGGCATAGCATGCCCTAGATAAATAAAATTCAAATATATTTTATGTTTTAGAAAATTAAAAACTTAACCGGATTTTGCAGTGCACTTTTTTTCATTCCTCCAGAAGGTGCCAAAATAAACTAAGTTGGGAAAGTGGTTTGAGAACTTCCCCACAGGTAATAATTGAAGTGAACTGTTTTGATTGACATGGACAATAGATGGACAATAGATACCTGACAATAATTGGTGATTTAAACTGTGTACCTGAGTGGACCATATCAAGTGAAACTCAACTGTTTGTTAATTTTATCATCTTCTGCAGGAACGAAAAAAAGTGCACTGCTAAATCCAGTTAAGTTTTAAATTTTCTAAAACATACAATGCATTAGAAGTTTATTTATCTAGGGCATGCTATGCCTTAAAACTTTTCCAGATGCGCAGGTTTGTCTGTACTCAGAGTAAATTTTGAGGTGAAAATGCAGCCATTTTAGCCAAAGGGTCCACATGAACCTTAACTGGATTTTGTTTTTCATTTTTTTTCATTCCTGCAGAAGGTGCCAAAATAAACTAATTTTTAAGTTGGGAAAGAGGTTTGAGAAGCTCCCCTCATATAATAAATGTTGAGAGTTGTATTGATTTAAATGGACAATAGACATCTGCAAACAATAGGTGATTTAAACTGTGTAACTGAGTGGACCTACCAAATGAAACTCATGAGTTAATTTTTTTTTGCTATATATTCTGCAGACTCGAAAAAAATGCACACCAAGCTCCAGGTTACTTGAACATTGTTGAAATTGTTAATTTTCTGAAAAACAAACAACATGAATAATTACACACGTACAATATTACTCTTATTCGAATTCTAGATATATAGACAAATGTAGTGTTTTGCATACCCTAGTGCAAGTGCTTCTGCAACCAACAGAGACGCTGTTAATGTGAGATAAATAAGCATGCTGATTCGGTTCTACCAAGTGGTTTTTAATATCACATCCTGTTGAAAATGAAAGTAGAAAATGTTGTAAGCGGTATAAAATAAAGCGCGAAATTTTATGTAAAGTTCTCATCATATTTTTAAAAATTTATATTTTTCGATAACTGGTTTTATTATGTTTATATAATCGACTTTTAAATTTTAGAAATATGTCTGAAAACTAAAGTTCTGAAGACATTATATTATTTTCCAGAAGCTAAGCGGTAAGAGAAGCAGCAGACAGAAGATCACAAAAACAATAAGACGTTGAACTTACATTATAACTCTGTCTTGATTTATATATTTGAAGACAGATAATATATTTTTGTTCTTAAATTGTATCAAACAGCTTTTTACTATGGTAATCATCATGTTGAAAAAAAGCTAAACAGTGTAAAACAAATTCAACGAATACCGGAATGGTGCATGGTTCATGCATAATTTGTCATGTCCATTTTGTCATAAAATGAAACGACTCCATGTCAACTCTTACAAAAAGTGATTACCATTTTTCTTTTACCCTATTAACAAGATACAAATAGTATTGTCATGCCCCTTTCCATAATTAAATAATCAAAAGCCATTTTTTGATTTTATCCCCCCTTAACTTGAGGTAGATGGGGGTGGGGGTCTAAATTAAAATCCATAGAATTTTTTATTAAATTGTCAAAATGTATTTTATATCATGCTTTTTTCATATAATAAAAAGTTCGGGTCACAAGGCTTTTTTTCACACCACAAGTAGTGCAAAATTGTCAGATTATGCATGGAAACCCCAATTTTGTGTGATAAAAAGAAAACTAAACCATAGAATTTTAAGATAAAATATGAGAAGATAGCTCTAATAATATGCTTTCAGATAAGAAAAAGAAAAAATGGGGTCACCTGAGTCATTTTCTTGCTACATAATAAAATTGGTAAATTCATTATACATTCTAGGTTAGGGGGAGGGTTGAGCACTCACAATAGTGTTGGATAATCAGTTGAAATTACCAACTGATTATCCGTTGACAGCAACCAACCGACTATCGGTTATAATCGCATCATTATACCTTGCTCTTTTTGTATATGAAATCATGCATTCAGCCACATTGTACATGTCTAATGCATATATTCCATTTCAGCAGTCTTAAATGTTCATGTTTGATCTTTAGTTTCCTTTTCATATTTTATCAAGCAATTAAAACAGTGAATCAATTAGAATATAGATTCAGATTAAACATATTTTGTCTGATGATAACAACTTTTATTACCAACAATGACACTAAAATTTCTAAATTTCAATGGTATCACTCACATTATAATTTCAAATACATAGCTTCATCAAAATTTGAATGCTTCTCATTCAAAAAAAGATATATATATATATAAAGTATTTAACTTTGAGCAATTTAAAATTAATCAATAAATAAAACAATGCATTTGCATTGAAATATATACATTTAACTAAGGGGATCCAACCAATGTCTGTTAATTCATGTGGAATGCCTATTTTTCACTTTTGTGATCTTTATTCTTATGTCAGCTGTGTCATTCGTGCGTCTGTACATACAATTGTAAGAATACGGAATTCTTTCATAGTTGGTCCGTATTTGATCCATGATTCGTATATATTTCAATGGCGAACAAACCGGGAAAATTTACAAAAATTAACGATGTTTGACAAGCAATTTGAAAAGGAATATGACGTTTTTAACACAACAAATGGATGAAACATTAATAAAAGGCAATTTGCACCACGTTCTACTGTAGCAACAAATATATTTTATCGAAAATTTATTTTATCGAAAATCAGAATGATTTGAAGTTCACACTCAAGTACCGGAAGTGAAAGAAAGTATTTCATAAAAAGTTATTTATTTTAAATAACATATTGCCAATCTGCAAAGTCAATGCTTTTACCACGTTTGTACAGAAAGAAATTGCTTATGGCTTTGATTATAGGATGTTTGACATTGTTATTGTCATCTACTGATATTTTTCTTTACAATTTGTTTGACTGCGCATGTAAAATGCATGTAAAATGCAAACCGGAAACGGACCGGAAGTTGATATGCTAAAAGTCTGGAAAGTATAACGACAATCGATTGAACAAAATTCCAATCAATTATCGACATCGCTAAGCCCAACCAACTGATTTCCGATTTATTCCGATCACCAGAACAACACTAGCTCACAAACATGTTTTACCCCGCCAAATTCTTTATGTGCCTGTCCCAAGTCAGGAGCCTGTAGTTCAATGGATGTCGTTGGTTCATGTCTGTCATATTTGTTTTTTTGAAATTGTTTCGTTATAAACTAGGCCGTTACTTTTCTCAATTGAATTGTTTCATATTTTTCATGTCGGGGCCTTTTATAGCCAACCATATGGTATGGGTTTTTCTCATTGTTGAAGGCTGTACTGTTGCCTATAATTGCTTACATCCACTTCTTTTGAACTTTGGTGGATAGTTGTCTCATTGGCAATCATACCACATCTCCTTATTTGTATAGTATAAAAGTTACTATATCTGAGTTATCTCCCCTTATGTGGTAAAGTTGAAAAAAATTGAATCAAACAATAATATTCTGTTTTTTTAAAATACAGCCGTAAGATATGATAAAACACTTAATTTTCTATGTTAACATGAAAAGTCTTACACATGAGTTACATTACTCTTAGAAATTTGCACATTTCATTAAAGATCTAGACCGTTTGTTATCTGCTATTTCAAAAACATGAAGTTAGAGTTCCCGTCGAAAAAAGAGAACATTTAAAAAATGAAGATGTAAGGATTTTTATTCATAAGGAAATCCTGGCCATCCGTTTGGCTGTCCGGGATGTACAAATACGCAGCCACGTTGGCTCAGAATATTAACGTTAAGTCTGATGCCTCGCATAGATAGAGAGAATGCAATGCAAACTTTCAATCAATCAATCAATCAACCAACCAACCAATCAATTAATCAATCTGTTAAATACGAGGTCCAAGATCTCATTTTTTTCTTTTTCGTTTGTTTCAAGAGACCCTATCCCATGCATGTGTTTAATTACTATATCAGTCAACCAACCAACCAATCAATCAATCAATCAATCAATTAATTAATCAATTATGTATCGGAGGGGAAAGACCGTTAACAATTGTTTTAAAAACAATTGATTTATATTTTTTATTTTCTTTTATTTCTTATAAAAAAAAATCATTTTTATATTCTTTTATTTAATTTAAGTTCAATTTTATTTTCATCTTTTGTTTTTATTCATCATTTTTTTTATTTATTCATTTAATTTATTTTTCAAATTTTTGCTCATTTTTACTATTTATTCATATAAGTAAGTTATTTTTGTTACTCAAAATTATATCAATTACCTTATGGTAAAAATAAATTATTTAAATGCCCAAAAAGGCTCAAGCCAGGGCTGACCGTGCAAGACCCTCATGGGTAGTCAAGGTCGTTAAAAACCACCCTCATCATCAGCTTCCTTAAGCATGCCTAGATCAGAAGCAAGTCAACTGGTACCATTGCAAACTCTAACCATGTCAACATGTACCACATGTCGGCGTAAGCGTCGTCCGAAGACATTTGGTTTCCGGAAAATAACTTTAGTTGAAGTGTATGGATCTCTATGAAATTTAATCAAAAGGTTCAATACCACAAAAGGAAGGTTGGGATTGTTTTAGGGGGTCATGGTCCCTATCGTTTAGGAATTAGGGGCCAAAAAGGGGCTAAAACAAGCATTTTTCTAGTTTAAGGATAATAACTTGTGTATAAGTATTTTGATTGCTCTGAAATTGTACCACAAGGTTCAATACCACAAGTAGAAGGTTGGGATTCATTTTGGGGGTAATTGCCCAAACTGTTCAGGAATTAGGGGCAAAAAGGGTCTAAAACAAGCATTTTTCTAGTTTTTTTTTTGGGGGGGGGGGGGGCAATTTTTTTCCTCAAAAGAAAATTCTCTTCAAATATTTGTTTTGGAAGGGGGTGGTCAATTTTTTTTTTCCTCAAGATTTAAGAAATTGTCAATTTTTCAAAGGAAAAAATTGGGGGTCACAATTTATTTTGCTAATTTTTTGTATATAGTCTGAAAACAGATGTACTAAGTATTGCGCAACAGCACAGTGTATTGCACAACAGCAAGAAATCTTCAATTGAATATAAATTCAAATCATACAACTAATTTCAAGTTTTTTGACTACATTTATTCTGTGTCAAAAACCTTTAATGTGTCAAAAATTTAATTACAATCCAAATTCAGACCTGTATCAAGCTTGAATATTGTGTCCATTTTTGCCCCAACTGTTCAGGGTTGGACTTCTGTGGTTGTATCCAGCTGCGCTCAGCGAAGCAGTTTATTACAGACTCATATGAGTTATTCTGTTAAATTTAGATATATCTTGTTTATTGTACATTTAACACCATTTTCAGTGCATTTAAACAAGTTGGTAAGAAAGATTGAAACAGTCGTTGGAAGAAGGAGATATTGAACATTGAGGTTTAATGTTAAGTGTCATATGGGAAGTCAGGAATCAGTCTCTTGACTTGTTGGAATGTTTGTCGAGTGAATTGTATGTTTCAGTAAAAGGTGCTGTATTATTTTGAGCATGAACTAATTTAAATTCTTTCTTATTAAATCATCGGCTTAAAATACAAAAGTTGGAAATGATCAGGGGTTTTAGTAAGAGACGGTAACCAGTACTTTCACCACCCTACCACTGGGTTTGTACAGGAAGAAATTTAAAACCCAGGCCATAATTTGCTGGCGAAATGCTGATTTAAGTCCCCAAAAAATTTTGCAAATTGCTTAAACTCATGAGCCCACTGACTTCATAGCAATGTGAAGTAGCTATCTAAATCTATACAAGGGAGACGACTTGTGATTTACAAGTCGCACAGGTAAACAAAAATGGTGACTGACAAGGAAAATCAAGATTTTTGAAACAACCAAGGACTAATAGTAAGCTGTCTATTATTAAATGAAATAAATACAACGTGACTTTGAACATCTTTGGATTTAACATTCACAACTATTTAAAAGGGAATCCGAGCAACTGATTGAGTTATCATTTTATGATTATTTTCACCATGAGGATGTTCGTAAGCACTCTGCTGATTTGTTTTATATTTGTATATTACGAGCCGACTAGTTTTACTATTCGGTAGGTTAAGGGTGTCAGAGAATTAACAGGAGATTTTTTGCTATTCATTGAATAAAAATTGAAATGTAAAGAGTAAAAAATAACAGATGATGGATAATTTGTTTGCAAACATATGACGTGTGGTCAGTAGCATGTTTTATTTCCATGACCAACTTGTTAATAAGAGAGATATCATTTAACAAAAAAAATAAAAAAAATAAGCTCATTTAATTAATATGTGATTGGCAGATATCTTCATTTATAGGGCTACAATCATTCCCGAGAATCTCATATTAAACTGACTGACTGACAAGATGTCCTGGACATTCAATAATGTTTTACAAAATTATGACAAGTGGTGATATAAATTAAATTGCCCAATCATTCTTAAGAAGTTCTTGATAAAAAAAAAAGATATCAGATACAAATTGAAAGTAGTTTTTGAAATAAACTGAGGTAGATGTACATGAAACTAATGCATGATACAGAGGCGGATTTAGAGGGGGGCCCTGGCCCCCCTTTTTCTGGGAAAATTTTGGTTGATTATATATGTAGCTTCAACAAGAAGCATGACCGGAGCGGGCCCCCTCTTAGGCAGTCAGTGGGCCCCCACTTATGAAAATTTTTGGATCCTCCACTGTGAGATACTAGCAACAAATTTTATTTAAACTTGAATTCAAATTGACAGTACAAATGATATGACTCAATAAATAACAACTGCATTTTCATTACTATTTTATTAAGAGTTTTCAATATATATACAGAATCATATAAAAACACTGCAGGTATATTTTTATTGCATATAATAAACAATTTTCTTAATGTATATATGTCATAGATAAGCATGAAAACACAATGCAACCGAAACAATAATGGAATTTCACTTCTCCAAGCAGTTGACCACTCCCCCCTACTCTCTCCTGGAAGGAAAATCACTTCTCCCTCTCCAAAATCCTAGGTTAGGGCCTGTAAACCTTAAAATATTCTAATCAATTTGTAAACTTATTACACAGAAAAATAAGACTGCTTTACTGTCCACATGGTATGATAGTTGTCTTGTTACTGCTGTTTTCTTCAAGGTCCAGGTTCGTCTGTTTTCCATTATTATTACAATTAAAGAAAACTCAATTAAGTTGTCATATATGACAAAATTGCTTTAATTAACAAGTGCCGAATAAAATTTACAAGTGAAATTATGACAATATTGAAAATGTGAAATCTGCTGCAATACCAAAAAGAAAAACAAATACAAGATTATTTTGGGGTCTGTAAAATGCAAAGGACCTCCTTAGTGCACTTAGAACAGGATTTCACATTAGGGACCTGATGGGATATGAAAGTCTCATTGATGTATACACTGCATCTTATTTTATTCATATGAAATCAAAATATTATTAACTTTGAATTTATTTCTGGATTCAAGCACTGTAAAAATGACAAAGAGCTCTGAAATAGAATCAGATGTCAAGAAAGATTTGTTTATAAGCATTTCCTGTAAGGTCTTGAAATTAACAAGTCAGTCATTGAATTTCTGAAACAACTGAACTTAAGCTTTTCAGTTCAGGCTGGCCATAAAGTTTCCTTCAGGTAATCATAACAATGAACAAAAATGCTATTGCATCAGCATCTTTTAATTGAAAGGATAGGCCTCATCATTTAAGAGATGAAAAAATGAACAGAATCAAAACGCTAGATATGTCTTTATCATGTTTATGAGATACATGTTTTGTATGTACTGACATATATATTATATGCTGTATATGATTCTTTAAAGTATGATTATGATTTTTATTTTAGAAAAAATAATTTATGTAAGGATGTCATCAGGATCTAGAGTGTCAGTAGATGAGGGTGTTGAGCCAGAGGGATCAAGCTCCTCGTTGACATCAGTCAAAGTTCATCGCTTAAAAGGGATCAAAGACGGCCAGTACAGTAACCCTGTATTCAAAAAGTTATCTGTCATCAATGGAGAAATCAACAGAATGCCTAGAGAAGAACTTGTATCAAAATTAGGAGAATTAAAGCTAGATTCAAGGTAAAGTATTGTTAAATTTGGAAATTAAAGCTTGATTTAACTTAGAACAAGGTAAACTAATTTTAAAATTGGGAAAATTAAAGCTTGATTCAAGGTAAAGTAATATTAGAATTGGGAGAATTTATAAAAAGACTCATGTCAATTCTTTGCATTGAGATAATGTTTATTGCTATGGTCTTCATACATTGGGATAATTGAAATGAAGAGACATGGTGTATTTCTTTCATGAAGCAAAACTTCTAACCATTTGACAAAACACAAAGCAAAAAAGCATGATACATATTTAATCAATTACATTCACGTCATGCAGTCAAGGGTAATACTTATACAGGTAATGTTTTATTTACTGGTACAGGTAAATAATTTTGGAGGTGGAGTTATCTCCCTTGGTCTTTCAGATTTTTTAAAACTTTTAAAGTTTTTGAACCAAAAAAGTCATAACTCTTCTTGAATTTCTTTTACTATATTACTCTAATAGACATGATAGAGAGTTTGATTGTCTAGCTTTCAAATTATTCCTTACTGTTCATTAAATAACAATTTCATTGATAATGAAAATCTCATTGGTTTGTTATCTTAAAAAATTCTGTCTATTTACAATTGTCATGGGGGGGGGCTAGGGATTAAAAGCTCTGTATTAGGCCTCGTGTTCTAAAGATTTAATTTTTTTTAGCATATTTACAATTTAATGTCATTATTAAATTGATTAGAATTTAAGGTCAGTAGCTTTCTGCTTAAGTTTTTTTTGTAACTGTTGGTAAATTTGTGAATTAAATCATCATAATTAACAATTTATTTTTGTCAACCCCCACTTGCTCCACAAAAATACTCATCATGCTCATGCCACAACTCTATGTTGACATATTTGCAGTGTTGACAAACAAAATATAATTTGAGAAGCAAGCTTGGGATGACTCTTTATTTTGTAATAAACAACACAAAAAGATATTCTTGCGATTCTGCCTAAAATTACTGCAGTATAACAACATCCTGTTGTTACAATAACACAATAATAGGCCTATTACGAAACTTATTTTTCTCTGAAATGTTAACCTCCTGAAAATGGTTTTGAAATACAATGCAGACATTCTGTATGTATGTGCCTGTCCCAAGTCAGGAGCCTGTTATTCAGTGGTTGTCGTTTGTTTATGTGTTAAATATTTGTTTTTCGTTCATTTTTTGTACATAAATTAGACCGTTAGTTTTCTCGTTTGAATTGTTTTACATTGTCATTTCGGGGCCTTTTATAGCTGACTGTGCGGTATGGGCTTTGCTCATTGTTGAAGGCCGTACGGTGACCTATAGTTGTTAATTTCTGTGTCATTTGGTCTCTTGTGGAGAGTTGTCTCATTGGCAATCATACCACATCTTCTTTTTTATATTATGTTCCAGTTATTGATGTTAAAGCTGCTAATTTTGTAATTTAGAATATTGTTTTCAGAGGTGTTACTGATGTTTTAAAGAAAAGATTGAAGACTCATTATCGAGAGAAGAAGCTGACAAAAGCCCATGTTCCAACACCTAAAAAGAGTTTACCAGAATTTTTAATGGTAATAGATTTTGAGGCAACCTGTGAGGAGAATAATGATAACTATGACCATGAAATTATAGAATTTCCTGTCATCCTAGTCAGCTTACAAAGCAAACAAGTGGTGAGTCTTAAGACAAAAAATTAAGAAGAAAGTCATTAACACCCAAAAGAAAACATTTTCAGCTTTTGATTTCAATAAATTTGTTTTTCACCTTTACTTTTCTAACTTCAATGCTTCATCAAATTATTAGAGTATTTTACCATGAAGTTGTGGTCACAACTTGAAATGGGGCCTCAGTGGCTGAGTGATCTAAGTAGTCAACACTGAGGTTGTGAGTTCAAATCCCGCACATGGCTGGTGCGCTGAGACCAATCTTATTTGTCTAGCATTGTCAGTTTTCCTACTGAAGGTTGTGGTTCTCTCCTGGCACTCTGGCTTCCTCCACCAAAAAAAAATGACAGCCACGAAATAGAACAACAGTGCTGAAAGTGGCATTATACAACAATCAATTACTCTATCAGAACTTGAAAATTGATCATGTTAATAAGGGTTAGCCAAATAGGGATATTGATCCAGATTTCTTGATGTCCAATGGAAATGCATTATTGTTTATTTAAACTTCATTTAGGAAAACATCAGCATGTGAAATCTTATTCTGTGAAAAAGTTTCATAAATTTAAATTAGTCATAGTAAAGATTGCTTAGAAATATTGATCCTTCAAAACAATTTCACCTAAAATTATTTTTTAGATAAGTAGGTGTTCAAACCTTGAGAAAAAATTAAAATTGAGTTTGAAGCAGAAACCAGTTATAATTTCTGTAATTTCAAAAGATAACTTTATATTTAGGAGGGGGGAGAAATGATTTTGCATATCAACAATATAATTGAAAAACTGCACAGGAACTCAAAATAAAATCCATATAATTGAAGATGACTTGCAAAATGTATACATTGTGTGCTCTCATCCTTTGATTTCATTCTTTTGCCAAATTTATTTATTACATGTACATAATGATAATAACAATATTTTTCCACAATACATATTAGGTTGATGAGTTCCATTCATACTGCAAACCAAGGATAAATCCACAGTTATCAGAATTCTGTGTTCAGCTCACTGGTATAACCCAGGTGACTATTAATTTCTTGCTATTTTAGAAATACTTGTTTGGATGAGCTATGAATTTTCAGTTTGCAGATAGTAAATGCTTTTTAATGCATTATCAGAAGTTACAGGTTAATAAATCAGATTTTGGCTAATTGGACATTAACTAATCAATAATTATTCTCCTTTAATGTACAAAAATTTAGATTTGTGTAATTTTTTATGTACCATATCTTTGTTTCACATAAACCCATTGACAATAAAGAGTAAGTCAATATGAAATAAGGCAATATGGTAGGATTGTCTATGAGATTTCCAAATACAATTTTATGTGATCTAACATTGACTGATAAAAGTTATGCCATTTAGTTATAATTAGATGTGGAGCATCCTTACAATTTTCATACTTGAAGACAGTTGTATCTGTAATCACTAGATCACTGAATTCTAGCTGTTTCTATTTGAATAAATGTCAATCATATCATGAATTTGTATTGGAATAGAGTGACAAAATAATCAGCATTCTAGTCTATACTTTCTTTCTTCAGGATAAAGTTGACAGTGCTGAGGAATTTCCAAAAGTTTTGAAAAGGATGGAGGATTGGATGAAATCACATGATCTAGGGGCAAAAAATAAATTTGCAGTTCTCACTGATGGGTAAATAACCTTGGATAACAATATCATAAGTTAAATTCAGTCATCATATTTATTAATTAATCTATAAGATTGAATTGTGGAAATTTATATCAATCGTGACATTACTTAATATGTACTTGCCATTAGCAACTTGACGGGTGCCACATGTGCAGCAGATTCAACCGACCCTTCCAGAGCACGATAGATCACCAGGTTTTTGATAGCATTTGTGTTGATCAGTCTTAAGTATTTTGTAGTCTGGTTTTTGTCTTTTTGTTGTAGTTCATTTTTCCCCATTGTATTGATGATTTTTTCTTTGACTTCTGATTTTTAGCTCACCTGGCCAAAAGTGCCAAATGAGCTTTTCTCATCACTTGGCATCCATTGTTGTCTTTCTTAACCTTTGTCAGAATTTTCTTCTCTGAAACTGCTGGGCAAAATTTAACGAAACCTGACCACAATAGTCATTAGGTTATCTAGTTTAAAAAAAAAATTTCGATGACCCCGCCTGGTTAAGTTTGTTTCTTAGATACTATAAGCAATAGGTCAACTATATTTAATGCATAAATTGATTGTAAGGTGTACATGTCTGTCTGGCATGGTTCATCTGACCTTGGCCTCATTTTCATGGTTCATTGGTCAGTGTTATGTTTTCTTGGCTAAGACTGTTTCTTAGAAACTATAAGCAATAGGTCATTGACTCAACTATGTTTGTTTTATTGAATGATTGTAAGGTGTACATGTATTTCTCGTTTGGTTTATCTGAGCTTGACCTCATTTTCTTGGATCATGTTAAGTTTATGTGTTACTTGTAGTAAAGCTTTATATTTAGGACTATTAACATAAAATCAATGGTTAGTAACGAAGGCTAGACATTTCAGCGTGTGCACTCTTGTTTGGTTTATGGTTCTTGTTGCTCAGTCTTTGGTTTTCTATGTTGTTTTGTGTACTGTTGTTTATCTCTTTGTCTTTTTCTTTTTTAGCCATGGCATTGTCAGTTTTTTTTTTACTTATGAGTTTGAATTCCCTTTGGTATCCTTCGCCTCTCTTTTTATAGGAGTGATTGCTTTTAATTGATATTTTTTTTAACCCTCTTTTGTGTTTTGGGCAAAAACTAAGAAGATAGATAGAAACTGTAAACACTAAAAATGATCAGCAATAAAAGATCAACAAAAAAGAGCTTTTTGTCAAGGCTATTTCAGAAATAAATATATGGGGGTGTTGGAAGGCACTTTTTTAATGCCCATGACCCATACAATTAGATTTTTCGGCGATCCATAACCCATACAATTAAATAGAGGTTTGATACCACCACCCGTCTAATTAAAAAAAAAAATGAAAGTCAATATAAAAGCAGTGTAAGAAATTGATATGATCTACTTAAATACTAGTATATCTTTTAAGTATGTATGTTTAATGACTTTCAACACATAAATGTATTGTAGAATTAGGATACTTAGCCTGAAAACTTTCAATCTTCTAATCTCCTTTTGTACTTTTATATAATTTATATCAAAATATAAAGGGTAAATTCCAAATGGGGTATGGCTGTTCCAACTTTGTAAATAGGGTCAGGAAATTCCAAGCCAGAAATCCAGAAATCTCCACTTTCAAGTAAAAATTCCCCTCCACCAAATTAACAAAAATCCAACAAGTAGTTTACAAAGGCACTGCAGGAACAGTATGTGTCAATCATTATATATACAATTCCAATAAAAATATGTGTATAATAAACCTCCTTTTTTCTATATTGTTCATTTTTCCTTTATATTCATCAATCTCACTCTGCTAGCGTGAGATATGGGCTCATCTCAGCTCGCTGTGAAGGGTGCATTTCCATTGTCAACTTAAATGTTATTGATGCCATACGCAAAACAGTGATGAGACCAACAATAATATATGAATGTTATATTATACTTTATATTGAATCTACATTGTATAGATTGATGCAGAGGTACATGTAGTACAGTGTTCTGCTAGAAACTGAGGACAGATGGGCACATTCCTATAAAAAGGGCACTTTAGAGTGGCTATCACTTTTACAACAGATTTTTCTTTTCAATTGACAAATATAGATAGGCCCATTATTCTCAACTTGACTTCATTCAGGCTTCATTTCTTGTCTTCACATAAAGACAGCCAGTTGTTAGGCAAACAGAATTTATTGAAAAGAGCTAATTAGCACTTGCAGATGATTTAAGCTTTCAGCAAGAACAATTAAGAGACTGCAAATGATATAGGAGTGCTTTTAGCCATCAGCATGAGAATAATGATGTGACAACTTGATTATAAGTACAATGTTCAAATCTAAAATAATGGTCTACTAAGAAATTATTTTTTTTTTTTAATAAAATGAACTTTTTTAAAGCAAAAAAAAATCAAGCTGTACTTCTTTCATTAAAATGACATTCTTTTGCAGTTAAAAATTAAAATAAATTATTGTGTATTTCAATAATCAGTAAAAACATATTTAAAGAAAATCCACTTTAAGGGGAAATAACTCCATATAATAAAATAAAAAAAACATCATTTTTTTTTCCAAGATTCATTCCTGTTTCATCACCTTTTGTAAAGTCATACATATTTAATGTTATTAATATGCAAAAGCTTCTAAATCGTAATATGTTAATGTACAACCACCCAACTTATTAAGTTGTGGAGAAGAACAACTACCTACACAATTTAATACATTTTCTCCAACCACCACCACCCATACAAAAAAAGATCAACTGCCGTCCAACCCTCCCATATATTTATTTCTGGAATAGCCCTCATCAGTTCTATTGTTATCCGCAATGTTGGAGAGAATCCGTTGTTGAAGATGCACATAAAACCTAGGTGAGCATCACAGGCTCTTTAGAGCCTCTGGTTTGTTGTCCCTTTGGTTCCTCTGACTCTTTTTTTAAGACCTACTTTAATTTACATAGACTTGTGAAATGCATGGCAGTAAATCAGTTTTTGTCTCGCCTTGACGGAGTCAAAAAGCGAGACATAGGTATGCTGTTTCCAATGGCGACGGCATCAACAATGTATTAGTTTGTGATTAGGTCTAGTTCATTGTGAACCACTAGTGGTAGTTCAATGATATTTGGTATGCAGTTGTATTAGCATTGGCACATCTCATTACCATGGAGATTATTTGGCCCCACCCCCTCAGTCAAGGTCTATTGACTTTGAAACTTTGCTTAGTTTACATGTATTAGTTCGTGATTAGATCAGTTTATGGGGAACCACTAGTGGGGGTCAATGATATTTGGTATGCAGTTGTATAAGCATTGGCACATCTGAATACCATGGAGATTATTTGGCCCCGCCCCCTCATTCATGGTCTATTGACTTTGAAACTTTTGCTTAGTTTACATGTATTAGTTTGTGATTAGGTCAGTTTATGGGGAACCACTAGTGGTAGGTCAATGATATTTGGTATGCAGTTGTATAAGCATTGGTATATCTCATTTCCATGGAGATTATTTGGCCCCGCCCCCTCATTCATGGTCTATTGACTTTGAAACTTTTGCTTAGTTTTCATGTATAAGTTTGTGATTAGGTCAGTTTAAGGGGAACTGTTAGTGGTAGGTCAATGATAATTGGTATGCAGTTGTATAAGCATTAGCACATCTCATTTCCATGGAGAATATTTGGTCCTTACCCCTCAGTCATGGTTTATTGACTTTGAAACTTTTGCTTAGTTGACATGTATTAGTTGGTGATTAGGTTAGTTTAAGATGAACCACTAACGTTAAGTCAATAATATTCAGTATGCAAATGTATTGGCATTTGCAAGTTTCATTTCCATGGAGATTATATAACCCCACCCCCTAATTATGGTTCATTGGCTTTGAAACTTTTACATAGTTTACAAGTTACTGTTTGTGTTTAGGTTTGTTTAAAGGGAACGACTTATGAAAAGTCAATGGTATTTGGTTTGCAGTTGTATTAGCATTGGCACATCTCATTTCCATGGAGATTGTTTAGCCCTGTACCTTCAGTCATGGTTCATTGACTTTGAATATTTGCATAACTTACATGTTAAAGTATTGCTATTTTAATTTCAACATTTGCATTATCAAAATGACAAATAGGCGAGACCTATCTCTGTGTTAACAGTTTATTAAAGTTATTTTTAGGTTAGCAATCAACAGCCTTTCAAAGTCTTTTGTAGACTTTAAAACACACTTCATCAGCCTGTTTTATTACTCTCTGTAAAGAATTACTGCTTATTACAGGCCATGGGACATGAGTAGATTTATGTACCATCAGTGTCGTCAAAACAAGATAACATATCCACGATGGGGAGGAAAATGGATAAATCTACGTAAAGCCTATTCTAATTTTTACCAGTGTAGAAGAACGAAACTGAATGATATGCTTGAAAATTTGGGAATGACATTTGAAGGACATTTACATTCAGGACTGGACGACTCTAGAAATATTGCAAGAATTGCCATTAGACTTGCTGAAGATGGCTGTGAACTGAAAGTCAATGAATACCTACACTATGATAAAAATGAAAATGCTTTCAAGTCCAAGCATATTTCTCCTGATTCTCCACAGGGAGGTACAAGTGAGGAAGAATTGAACCAATCAATGGATGGTTTGCATCTGACCAATGATGGAGCAGCTAATGAAACAGAAGAAGTTGATGATTTATTGGAATATTATAGGATTCAAAAATCTTAACTTAATTTATAAAAAGTAAATTTATGATGTTCCCAGAGCATAGTTAAACTTATATGAGATTTACCAGTTATGGCTTTTCAACAACACGTGAAAAAAAGATTCAACCATTTCATACAAGTCACTCATTTTTCCAATCTTTTTCTCAAACCATTACTTAAAAAAACTTAAACTATTTTATCTAAATGTTTATGTTTCTCCTAATAAAGTAAAAAAACATAAGAACCGTCACCTGTTGACTGTGATATTTAATGTATGATTTCTGTGATTGCATCATATTTTGTATGGATGTCCTAAATTCTCTTAATTGAATCATATTGACAAATTGCAGTTAATCTATTAAAAATGAGGACTTCAGTGAGAGTACATACTGTATAGCTTATTAAATAAATATTGATGAAGGCAGGTTCCTTGGAAAAGCATCACTATAGTTGTACTAAAAAAAAAGGTTTTAAATGTGTTTAAATATCTACACCCTAAGAAAGATAAAAATGTGATGTAAAAAATACATAAAATATGTACTTACAATTTATTTGGTAATATTATAAATAAATAAATTTTGTTCAGATGTATTATTGCTTTTGTACAGCATCATCAATTTATTTATCAGTTTATAAAGTTGGTAACACCTTTGCATGTACAATTAAACATCAGACCTTTTAAAATATACATGATAAAAACCAAACTTTTTGCTCTGATTTGTCTAGATATATTTTTTGGCAATTAAGTTGATAGTCAACCATACATTTTTACATGTGATGATGTAAAAAAAAACTGGTACTCAGGGCATGAAGATTCCCATTTTGTAAATGATTTTTTTTATCAAATTTAATTGAAGTCAACAACAAAAATAAGACAAAATTTACATTTTCCCAAGCATCTAAATCACCTCCAGGTATGTTCAGAATGTAAGGTTTTGAGTCTAAAATGTCAAAATTTTCTTGGGGGAGCATACGATTTTATAAATAGCAACTCGGTTACAGTTTTATACGGAAGGGGATTTCCTAACTTTGCAGCTCCTGTTGACTGCTAGTGAATATGGTTTTTAATTTTGTAAAAAGGGGGACCGGTTGTAAAAACAAAACCAACTCTTTTTAAAATCATTAAAACATATATAATTAATTAATGTTCTCAATGTCAAAATTACAATTTTCATTTAAAACTAAATAATTCAAGTGATATTTCAAACTAATCTTTGGAATCTTTCAGTTCAACCATATTCACTAGCAGTCAACCTGCTGCAAAAATGCACAGAAATGTATATTGGTCTTGCAAGTTGCCAACATAACAGCAGTTCTAAGTCTGGATCAAATGCGAATATCAATCTGATCAAATTTACAGAAAATTCAACCACCATGCTACTAATTTTAATTAATCATTAACATTATCTTCATTAAAAAATGATGTTTTCAGTGGTCTGAATAAGGGTCCAGGAGACCCTCAAAATACTGGATTTTGCACCATTTTTAAAAAAAATTCTGGACACCCGGCCATATTTACTAGCCTTGCTACTTCAGAAATTTAACCTGCTTCATAAAAATTTACTGACACCACTGGATGCATACTACATGGTTCAGCATAATGCATATAATTTATCTGTCTTTTTATTTATTATGTGGGTCCAATTATGTGATACAAAATAACAGCTTTCTGCTCACTGAAAGGACAAAAACAGTACATATATGCCAGTTATTTTGCACCATTTAGCTTTTTGTCTTTTATCTTGAAAACTTTAATAGATCAATAGAAATTTAAATCTGTCAGGGGCAAAAATGGTCAGAATGTAGAGATCTCCTAACTCCATTTACATTAAAACTGTCTTGACGACTTTATATAGGGAGTATTTTACCAATTTTTATACGTCCGCAAAAAAATTTTGAGGTCGTATATTGGTATGATGTTGGCGTCGTTGTCGTCGTCCGGCGGCGTCGTCGTCGTCGTCTTATTCCGAAGACACATTGGTTTTCGCACTCTAACTTTAGTTTAAGTGAATGGATCTCTATGAAATTTTACCATAAGGTTCAATACCACAAAAGGAAGGTGGGGATTGATTTTGGGGGTTATGGTACCAACAGTTAAGGAATTAGGGGCAAAAAAGGGGCCAAAAATAAGCATTTTGGTAACTTCCAGACATAACTTGTGTGTTAGTGTATGGATCTCTCTGACATTGTACCACAAGGTTCCATATCACAAAGGGAATGCTGGGATTGATTTTGGAGGTAATTGCCTCCAAATTTTAGGAAAAAGGGGCCAAAAACAAGCATTTTTCTAGTTTCATGACAATAACTTGTGTGTAAGTGTATGGATCTCTCTGACATTGTACCTCAAGGTTCCATATCACAAAGGGAATGCTGGGATTGATTTTGGGGGTAATTGCCTCCAAATTTTAGGAATTAGGGGCCAAAAAGGGGCAAAAAACAAGCATTTATTCTAGTTTCATGACCATTACTTGTGTGTAAGTGTATGGATCTTTATGAAATTGTACTACAAGGTTCCATATCACAAAGGGAAAGCTGGAATTGAGTTTGGGGGTAATTGCCCAAAACGTTTAGGAATAAGGGGCCAAAAATAAGCATTTTTCTAGTTTCCAGACAATAACTTGTGTTCAAGTGTATGGATCTCTCTGAAATCATACTGCAAGGTACCATACCACAAAGGGAAGGCTGGGATTGATTTTGGGGGTAATTCCCTCAAAATTTTAGGAATTAGGGGCCATAAAAGGGGAAAAAACCAAGCATTTTTCTAGTTTCAGGACAATAACTTGTTTGTAAGTGTATGGATCTTTATGAAATTGTACTGCAAGGTTCCATATCACAAAGGGAAAGCTGGGTTTGAGTTTGGGGGTAATTGCCCCAAACGTTTAGGAATTTGGGGCAAAAAAGGGGCAAAAAAACAAGCATTTTTCTAGTTTCCAGACAATAACTTGTGTTCAAGTGTATGGATCTCTCTGAAATTGTACTGCAATGTACCATACTACAAAGGGAAGGCTGGGATTGAGTTTTGGGGTGATGAATCATAAGGGGGTTCAAAAAATTTGGGGGGGGGGGGGATTTTTTTTTCCTTTTTTTTCTTTAAAATTTTCCATTTTAAATTGGTTATTTCTGATTTATATATAAAAGCAAATAATAATGATATGGTTTGAATAGGTAAATTAAAAGTTCTTAGACCACATTCATTCTGTGCCAGAAACCTATGCTGTGTCAAATATTTAATTACAATCCAAATTCAGTGCTGTATCAAGCTTGAATGTTGTGTCCATACTTGCCCCAACTCTTCAAGGTTTCGACCTCTGCGGTTGTATAAAGCTGCGCCCCAGTGGAGCATTTTATTTGCATTTTTAAAAGCTTGTCAAAAATATATATATATTATATATATTATATATAATATATGGTATATAATGGTATACCATTGTCTGTCTGTCAACACTTCATACAATAACCATTTGCTTTAACCAATTCTCATGTTGTTGCAAAAGAAATGAAACACAGAATCAACTCTTGTTCCCTGTGTAGTTTATTCACTAGAACCTTTAAATTTTTTCTAAGAGAAATCAATAACTCATTGATTTATTGACCTTAAGAAAATCACAGTACTGAAGTACTGAACATGGGATGACCGCAAGTTCTTATGGATGGTCACGAGCACTTATCTCAGAAAAAAAAATCACATCTCTATACCTGAAAGTGAGGTTAATGTACAGATATAAAAAAAATTCTGAGACAAGTTCGTGCGTGGATGATAAATAAATGACAGGGAATTCAACCTCACTGTAATAACTATTATATTGTAGTGATACAAATCAGTATACTCTGGTTTGTTGTTGTCGAGCCTGCGACTTTTGTCGCAGAAAGCTCGACATAGGGATAGCGATCCGGCGGCGGCGGCGTTAGCTAACTTCTTAAAAGCTTTATATTTTAGAAGATGGAAGACCTGGATGCTTCATACTTTGTATATGGATGCCTCATGTTACGAAGTTTCCGTCAGTCACATGTCCAATGTCCTTGACCTCATTTTCATGGTTCAGTGACTACTTGAAAAAAAAGTTCAGATTTTTTGTAATGTTAAATTCTCTCTTATTATAAGTAATAGGATAACTGTATTTGGTATGTGAGTACCTTGCAAGGTCCTCATGCCTGTCAGACAGTTTTCACTTGACCTCGACCTCATTTCATGGATCAGTGAACAAGGTTAAGTTTTCGTGGTCAAGTCCATATCTCAGATACTATAAGCAATAGGTCTAGTATATTCGGTGTATGGAAGGACTGTAAGGTGTACATGTCCAACTGGCAGGTGTCATCTGACCTTGACCTCATTTTCATGGTTCAGTGGTCAAAGTTAAGTTTTTGTGTTTTGGTCTGTTTTTCTTATACTGTATGCAATAGGTCTACTATATTTGTTGTATGGAATGATTGTAAGGTGTACATGTCTAGCTGGCAGGTGTCATCTGACCTTGACCTCATTTTCTTGGTTCAGTGGTCAAAGTTAAGTGTTTGAGTTTTGGTCTTTCTTTCTAATACTGCATGCAATAGGTCAGCTATATTTGGTGTATGGAATGATTGTAAGGTGTACATGTCTAGCTGGCAGGTGTCATCTTACCTTGACCTCATTTTCATGGTTCAGTGGTCAAAGTTAAGTTTTTGAGTTTTGGTCTTTTTTTCTAATACTATATGCAATAGTTCAACTATATTTGGTGTATGGAAATATTTTATGATCTATATGTCAGTCACGCAGGTTTTATTTGACCTTGACCTCATTTTCAAGGTTCATTGCTCAATGTTAAGTTTTTGTGTTTTCGTCTGTTTTTCTTAAACTATAAGCAATAGGTCAACTATATTTGTTGTATGGAAGAATTGTTAGCTGTACATGCCTGCCTAGCATGGTTCATCTGACCTTGACCTCATTTTCATGGTTCATTGGTCAATGTTTAGTTTACTTGGTTAATGTTAAGTTTATGTGACAGTTGTAATAAAGCTTTATATTTAGGACTATCAACATAATATCAATGATTAGTAA